TCTCAAGCCTCCTGTGGGAATCCAACCCAATTTTCCCCAGACAACGCATGCGCAGACGTGACTAACACCGCTCGTTGAGGCGAGGAGGAGATTTAAGGCTTTTGACTCCAGCTTGATCTCCCCCCCCTTTGTTTCTCCCTCCTTCTTCTAAGTATCTCTTTATTCATCACTTTCATTACCTAATCGTAAATTTCTTTAGGGGGTTACTTAGAAGGAAAATTAGCATCAAAGCTTGGCAGTGAATCCAGGGGCTTTTGGAGCAGGTCCAAGTGTTTCACCTGTGATTAATTTGATGATTTTTTTCCTTAAGTGCCAGAGGGCTGTTGAGGTCTTTAAGCAGTTACGTGAGTGCTGCCAGCTCAGGAATTATGATTGATGCATTAGTCTGGCATTGAGGACTTCTGCTTCTTTCTGCTAGTTGCCTGGATAAGCAAGAGCATCAGACCGGCCACACGGGTGGAAACAAAAGGCTTGTTGCTGGCAAGCACCACACCTTGCTCTCATAGAGGAGTGAGGAACTGGGGACACTGGCTTCCCCACTGCTGGCAGAGTGTTCAATAGGACTAAGATGAGAGAAAGGGAGCAAGAAATGCCTGCTACTCAGAGTGCGTTTTACAAAGGCGCAGTTTCAAGTCAGAGCAGTATTTGTTGCCTTTAAATCTCTTCTGAAGGTATGGGCTTATTCAAGAATGAGAATGAGAGGAAAACAGAACCAAACCTTTAACCTCAACCTGGAAAACTTCTGTAAAACAGAAATAGATGGACTTAAGGAAAATAGTTTTCTCTTTCACAAAAACCTAGTATGTCTTTCCCCTGGCCCCAAAGGGAAAAGCAAGAATCTCAGTGGGGTTGCATTTGTTCCTTCAGCAGAAAGCTTTAAGAGACAACCAAATTCCAAGCCTCGGTGACTAATCTGGCTCCTCCTTCTGGCTGGAAACAAAAATCCTTTCTCACCAAGGAAGAAGAAAGCCAACCCCAAAACCCCAAGCTCTCCATTAAAGCTTTAGCAGAAGTTAGAAACAGCTGGTTCCAAGTGTTATCCCTGTGTAACTCTCACCCACACTGGACAGAGGTGTTTGGAAAAGCATCTCAATGAATGGAGAACCCAGTGGGCTGTGTCTGTGCTTTCACTGCTCTGGCTACATCTGTTTTCTGGGAAATGGAGACCCTTCAGTCACTAATGCTTATTAGTTGGCACATGTGTACTACAGAAAAAGTGTCAGAAGCATTAATGATGCACTTCCAGATTGCTTAATACAGTTAGCTCACCTAATTCACTCTGCATGGCCTCTTGCTGCAAGGAGAGAAGCAATCAGCAGTTAAACAGCCCTAGTCCCTTTATAACTGGCCACTAGAGAGACAGTGGGGAATAAGACATTGGTTTTATGGTACATTGGTGGCAGGTCAAGAGAGAAAGCTGAAGTGGATGGATGGGAAAGTAGCAAAGAGCCCTTCCTTCAGTAGGAAGAGGCTAAAGAACCCACTGCAAATTAATGACTGAGAGAGACCTCCTTCTGTTCTGGCATTCATTTAAACCATGAGGTGTTTGGAGTTTGTCTCAGCAGAGTAAAATCATCTTTCAGACATGATACATGCTTCGCAGGAAACCGTGTGTGGCTCTCAAAGGCTACTCCTGCTGTCATGCATCCTTCCTCCCAAGTGTTCTCAGGACAACAGGATGTCCCTTCACTTCAGGAGACAGCTCCTCATCCTGCTGTGAAGTAGTTAATCTCCATGGGAAGTTCCTAGGCCTCTCACCATCCCTGCTCAGAGAATAATGACACCTGGTGTCTGCAGCCACCTCTGGTTTTGTCAATGCCCAGCCTGCCTCAGCTGACGTTTACAGAGCCTGGATTCTCCTCAGATCTCATTGACTTTGTGTCAGTCACCACTGGCAGCATTCTGCTCTGCAAACCCAGCCCAGCTCACAGCAGTGACATCCGTCACCACTCATCCTGCTGGATTGAATCTGACTACAGGAAGGAGGAGGGGGAGAAAACTTGCTTGTATGTATGGCTTGTATACATGTACATATTAACCTCTTTCTGGGCAAGTGCTCTTTGCAGAGGCCTGTGTTTATCTTTGTGTTTGCCCTTATCAGTGTTCAGATCCAGGTGGATGCCTTAGCATGTTTGAGTCTCTGCAGAGTCTGCATTTCCATGCATGCATCTCTGAAGAGGCTTTTGGCTCCATTTGTTATGTACCAGCCTGAAACAACAGTGTGGCTCAGCTGACAAGACAGACAAGACACCACTGCAAGACAGCTAACCTACCAGGTAAGCTCAAGGAACTTACTTCCCTGTTTGAAAGCATGATGATACTTGTCTGCTGCTGTAAAGAGGCTGTCCATTGTATGCCAAATGGGGAAATAATTCATCAGGTACTGCTCCATGAAGACCATTTCAACCATCTCTGGAATGTTAAATCCCTAGACAGACTGGCAAGGGAATGATCATGTTAGCAGGAGCTCAGATCTGAAAGTGAGAAAGCTGCTAGCCCAGAAATCAGGAGATCTGGGTCCTGGTTTTATCTTTTCCACCAATATGCTTTTGAGCAAACTACAGCTCCTCTGCTTCCTTTGTGACTGTTCTGTGTGTACCACCTAAGCTCACCAGGGTCAGGACTACCTGATTCTATCTGACACAAGAAGTTCCAGAACTCAGAAACTCCAGTAACAGTGCTAACAATTAAACCAGACCAATATTAAATGCCAGCCACAAACCAAGGTGACCTTTAGCCCTTAGAATGGGTGCAGGTTAGCAGACAGCGACACAGAGATCCTGTGACAGCCTCAGGTACCACCCCATGGGTTTCACTGCAGGAGCTGAATTTAAACATATGACCCAAACAATACACAGGAAGATGCTGGTGCTGAAGATTCAAAGGTGGTAGCTTCAGAAAGCGTGCTTGCAGGCACCCCCACTCCGATTCTCTCCTACCCCTTTGCTTTCCAGCTTGTGACAACAGAGATTATTCCTTGCTGGAAGAATGTGGCATTGTTGACATTAAAAAAAAAGGCAAAACAGGCCTTTGCTTTGCTTGAACAGCACAGGCTTTCTTGATCAGCTGTCTGAGGTGCCTCATCTGTACAAAGCATTTAAACCTGTCTAACATCAAAAAGTAAGGTAAGACAAGTCACTTTGATGCTCCAGAGCACATGCCTAACATGATTATTGCAGAATCTTCCTGGTGATAATAGAATTATGCAAAAGAGGCCTTGACCCATTAATGCTTTTACCTTTCTTAGGATTTCTCTCCCTTCTTTCATGAGAAGCAGAACTGCTTGCTCAGATATAGCAACTGAACAAAAAGGTGGAATAAGCAAAATGAAAGAGGTCCCTTCCCCACTTTGTCATCTCCCCCCACTCCACCTTAGCCCAGTAAATCACACGCTTGAGCAGTTGCAGGTTAAGCAACTGGAAATATGCTACACTGGCAAAGCTGTGTGACTGAGATGGGCACATTCCCTCATCACAGAGACAGTGTGAATGCAGGATGGCACATGTCATCACTGGCAGTCCTGCACCTAAGACACCTTCGGGGAAAAAACCCTCTCTAATGGAAAGAGAAAAGATACCTGCACCAGGGGCTGCAACTGTTTTGCACCAAGTGGCACAGCTCTGGACTAACACAGTAGGAAAGCCAGCATTTGGTGTCTTCAAGCTAGAACTCATGTGTCCTGGATCTCAGTCATAAAGCAGCACTTTCAACATTTGCATCCCTTTTCTAGGCAAAGCAGATGATTTCAGACAGAAGAGTTTGCTGGCACCGTAGCCTCAGTTTCTCACCCTCTCAGGGAATTTATGAGACAGGTTTTGGTGGTTCTCAATAAAAATGCCTGAACATTGCACAAGACCTGCTTAGTATCAGAACACAGAGGCTCAGGCATGTGTTGTTATTGAAAAGCAACAGAACAAGAAGGAAGAAAAAGGGATGTTACCTCCCCTGTGCCCTGCTCAGACTGAATTACAGCTGAACATAAAGCAAGCTTCAGATGATGATAACACAGAGAGCTTGCAGGGTCTTAGTATGAGGTATCCCTTGTAGCCAAAGGAATGCAAAGCCTGTCCAGGCTCTTCCTTCCACCTTTTAAGTGTCCTGCCTGTTTAAAATAACACATGCTAGGGAATGGACTGAGACACTATTATGGAAGCCTTGTTCTGCCAGAGGGTAAACAGAATCCAGCACACAAATTCTAATCTAAGCTTGTATATACAGTGGGTGATTTTAGGCCAAAAAACCCCTACCAAGAGATCAGCTGAGTGTCCTGGCTCAGGCTCAGGTCTGCAAAGGGCTGGCAAAGGGAAAGCATGCTTCCCATGTGTTTTGTTTGCCCAAAGCACGGTTCACTGATTCCTACTTGCAATCTGTCCTGAATTGAAAATGTATGATTAGTTTGTTCCAGGAAAGACGAGCCCAACACATTAAGGCTCAGACCTGAATTCAAACTTCCCCAAGCGCAGATAGGTTTTCATCTGGAGTTTTGGTCCAAGCTCTTCTCTTGTTTCTTACTCATGTTGTTTGAGTTCCTGAATGTCCCATCCTACATCAGTACCTATTTATGTTAGACCAGACAAATCACAAGAGACAGTCCTTAACCCTAAGCTCCCATTATCCATATTAACAAGTATGTTATTATATTATTCCTGTAAGCAGAAAGCAGCATTAGGACCCAGTTAAATAACTCACCCAAGGTTACACAGCCAGCTTGTTGCAGCGCTGGCTACTAAAGCCAGTTGCTTGACTCTTAAGCTCAGTGCTTTAGTTATTCCTCAAGAGGGGAAGTGTAAGCCCAGATCTGACCATTCCCCTGGGTAGGAAAGCTTCTGGAGTGTCTGTTCAAAACAAAGACTTACCTTCCCCCTTTTCCTGTCTAAAATAGAAAAAGGACCAAACCCTTATTCTTGAGCTTCAGGGATCTGTTAATTGGCTCCCTAGTAAAATTACAGGGCCTCAGCTGCCTGATAATGATTGTAAATGACAGAGACTATCAGGTTTACCTTGTGATGTCCCTGGGGAGCTTGCAGTTAGTTTAGTCTGAACTCTGCGTCAGCTGTTTGGGTTCCTTTCTTCTCGGCATGTGGTATCTGGACTCAAGCTGCAGTCTTTCAAACCTAATTAGTGTTAGGGGAAAGAGAGAGAGAAAAAACCTCAAACAACAACACTCTCCTTCCCTCAACTGACTTCATAATGTACAGGCAGGACCTGATTTACGGTACAAGTTCATGGGGATTGGTTTTGCTTGGTTTGTTGGTTGTTTCCATGCCCAGCAATCCAGCATCTTCAGCTCTGGCTGCAAGAAAACTCCATTTCAGTGTGCTGGAATCTTTGCATTTTGAGAAGTTCAGCAGAGAATCTCTGAGCTCAATGGAGTCATCGTGTTTGCATATACTTGGGTCTGTTGCAGTGCTCAGCAGAAACTCAAGGGTTTGCCCTTTTCTTCACAGAGAAAGCATTTTACTCTCTGACATGTTTGTTGTTCAAGCTTAACTACGTTTTCAGTAGTAACCTCATAGCAAAGTTAAGCCAAATTCACACTGCCACCCCTAAGGAATAAGAACATCAACAATATTTTGGGGGGTCTCCATAACTTGTACCATTTTTTACTTGCAGGGCATTTCATGATCTAACTCTGGCAGGAAGGTGTCAGCACTACCTGGTTTCTTGCTTGGTAGCTGACTTCCATCCCACATCACAGGTCTTCAGTTGTGGCGGTGTTGCATGGAACAACAGAGCAGCAGATCCATAGACAGCATCTTCAAACCACTGGCAGGCCAAGCAATCACCAACCTGGAAAAGCAGCAGCACATGAGATTCAGGCTGCTTTGGGAGAGACCTGAGTGTCTGGGATAGCAAGAAAGCTGTAGGGCTTTCTGCAATGCCTGACTGTGTGTGCAGAATTCTTTGGAGTGAGGAGAATATAGAGAGGGTTTAATTTTACCTATTCTACATATATTTAAGTGAAGCTAATTAGTCTCTGGAACAGCTGCTGAAAGATGTGATAAATTTCTTGACTCCTCCAAATCTTAAATCAAGACTAAGTGTCTGTCCAGAAGACCTGAAGCTCACGCAATCCCTGAAATCTTGAAATTGAAAGAATCAGTGAGTAGAACAGGTTAGATGAGGAGATTCTCTCTGCCTGCAAACCCTCTGAAATCCCTGCCCTCAGCAGCATTACTAACTTCATGCTCCAGTAGCTCCCTAATGCAGAAGGCTCCCTGGTAAAGATAAATCACATTTTAAATGAACATAAGGGAATCTCATCCAAGCACCAGTAAGCACCATGTTCAGACCACACAGCAGTTTGCCTCAAATGGCCTTAGCTACCTACAGCAATGTCTAAATCCAAGACAAAAATAAGTAATTCAGGTTGCCTGAAACAGATGCCTAACTTCAAAGTTACAACTACTACCTTCTGACTTCATGGTACAGGTTGAGATAAGGTGTACCTGCCTATTCTTGTACAGATTGGGTTCTTCCATCAGGTGACAGAGCCCAAAGCAGAGCATCCCAGACAAGTCTAAAGCTCTGCAGCAAGGAGAAGTCCTGCTGTAGAAGAAGCAAACCCACTCTTACCAGAAAAGGACCCAAAGTGGACAATTCAGTCTAACATTAAAACACTTATATAGCCAAATTCAGATCTAAGGCAGAAAAGGCCTAGCCTAGAGCCTCTCTCTTTTTGTTTTCTAACCAGTGATGCCTGCAGTGCATCAAATAACTTCTTTTCCACCCTTTCTCGAGCAGCTCATTTCCTACATAGATCCACTTCGTGGAATCTGTCACCTGCAGTTGCCTGAGTAAAGAACCTAAACAAGCTTCAGAGAAGCAATGGTGTTACTAAATCCACGCTGCACCCAAATCCGCTTAGGAACATCTGACCATATTGTCGGGCAAAGGGGTATAATGCTGTTAGAGTAATTCCCAGTCTTTTCAAGTAAGGAGCTATAGTCCAGGGTTATCCAGGAGTGATACAGCTCGGGGGGAATCTGCACTTTACATATTTAACAGAAGCGTGCTGAGCTCTTTAACATATCATTGCTGTACTTTTTGACATCAAAAGGATTGCATTTCCATACTTGGATGAATTAATAGGATTTGCATGTCACCCTCATTCTGTACTTTCTTTGCTGAGTTACACTGCTGGAATTTGAAAGGCAGAGAAACTATAGAGGTGTGCATGTGTGTGTGTGTGCACTCTGAAGTAACACACTGCATTTAGAAGGGGTCTTGAAGCTGCCTTTAAAGGAACAACATTTCTGCAATGTGCCCATGAGATGTTACCTTCCTTGCCGGTTGATGTTTGGTTACAGCTTCAGACAAGCAGATTTCTGGGAACGCTTCTGCACGCAAAGGCAAGGCTGGAAACCTTCCTCCATCACCAAGCAGCTGCCTGCTCCCACTGACTCCTGTGTTGCTACGATGCTTTTCAAACTGGTCCTGTTCAGCTTAGGAACCTGCATCTGGATCAGAAAGGGAATTCGGGGCTTGTTAGAGCACCTGAGCTGTAACGATCATGCTCATTGAATCGTTTTCTGCCTGTGGAGACCCCAAGGGTCATGCTGAAGCAAATCCTGGATCTGCTTCAGGCTTCCAAGGGTAACATTCCCCTTTACAGACTGCATTCTCCCGTTCAGATTCTTCTGCCAGTCTCCTTTCAAACTAAAAGAAAGCAGCACTCCTGCACTGAGCGTCTGGAGATATTTCAACAGATATTCACAGTGACAGCAAAGGGAGGTGACATTGGACTGCTGAAGGCTCCCGACCTTCTCTTTCTTCTCTAGTTCACACATCTCCCTGATACTGCCATTTGAAGCAGTACTGTATTTCTCCCCGTCTTCACTGTATTTACAGGTTGACTGAATGCAGCCAAAGGTGCCCCTCTACTTTAAAGCAGAGTTGAGTGCTGATTGTTCCTGGACAGACTTGGAATCCTACGCTTGAGTGAAATTTTATCCTTTAAGACAGGTCATGCTATGTCTTGAGTTACTTTTACACTTGACACTAGCAGTCATTAATTACCATCTGGCTGATTGACATATCAGTGAGTAGCAGCAATATAATACTTTCCCTAACACTGAAGCCTTCTCAGAAAAGCGTTAACTGGACTTGACACACTTCCTTTGGACTGCTTATCCCTTGGAGAGATTTGGTTTGTATTTATTCAGTGTCTGTAAAACTGCCACCCAAGCACTATCCCCTTGGACACGAGCTGAGAGTGAGGCGTGTGGAACCTGACTGCAGCGCTGGGATTTGGGGTGAAGAGCAAGAAAGGGGCTTTCAGAAAAAGAGGAGGCTGTTTTGCAAACACAGCTCAGGAGCTCAACCGCTGCTTCACTGCCAAAATCCTGCCTTAACTGCACCAACGTGGGACCCATGTGTATGACCACTGGCAGCATCACTCAGTTTTAACAGCACTTAAAAGGATGATGTGAGCAGGGGGGATCCCCGCGTTCCCTCTGTTCTTGCAGGTTTGGTGCAGTGGATCTGATCTTGGTGCTCCAAATGTTTTTAAAAGAACACACTGCCAGAAGTTCACCAACATAAGCACTCTGAAAACCTGATGGGGTCCAGCGGATCAGCAGTGGCCCATGTTGTGGAATTTGGTTTATACCTTTTCAGCATCCACATTTCCAGGGAATTTCTGCCTAGGTGCCAGATGGCCAGGTAAGAGTTAAGTGTTCCAGGTCTCAATGCCTGCTATGGTAAAGTGGTGGTAGTGCAAACTCCCTGCTCCCTAGCTCACCAGTGCACCTCCAGCCAGGCTCACAGAACTCCTTTCTACACAAACACGTAAGAATCCAGAATCCCCATAATCTTCTCAGCCTTTGGCATCAATGCTGGAGCATTGGGCCAAGCCATCCACCAAGGGCCCAGCTGGTGTCAAGTGCGATTTTGGCTTCAGTGACTGCAGTTCCCTTAGAGGGACTGATTGTAACATCACATTGTCAAAAAGCAAATAAACCAGGCTGGCTTTAAATACCTTTTGTAACCTGTCAATATCTTGGAGCTAGGAACAGGAGGAACTTCTAAAAGCACTCTGAAAGTGTGTATCTATAACAGAGAGAGTTGCTGCTGATGGCATATATTGAGAGATGTCTCTTGGAGCTGCCTTTCAGTGTATGGAACCCACTACGCCAAGAAATCACAGCAGCCCAGTGATGAGCAAACTGCTCAAATAGGAATAGACACGTATTATTCCCAGGGTACCATGTAACTAATCACAGCACTGATCTCTGCAATGTTTCTTGTGCCTTTCTCTGACACACATGGCCTTGACCATCATTAAGTCTAGCTTAAGTGGGTTTACCCTGGCTATGGAAGACTTTGTTATACACTGATGCCACTGAACAGGACAGGGCATGATACATCTACTTACCCCAGACAATAGAGAATTCAAGAAGTAGTCTGAGAAGATAGCTCCTGCAGGGGCACCAGCAGAGAAAAGCTGATCTTGCTCTGGAATCTCATAATTGCCACTGGGAGCTTGGCTAACGAACCAGACATTTGGTGAAAACTCTATTGGAAAAGCAAGGAGGAAAGAGGAAACACCTTAGCAACAGAGGGAAGGCATCGAGAATCAGAATCAGAAGTTAATAAATCCAGTTTGCTATTCTGGGTCCAGCACTAGCTACAGCATACAGCATTAGTAAAACATTGCACTGTGTGCCATGGCAGACAAAAGGTACAGAATCCTAAAGCTAAGGTAGAAGACATCAGCTCCTAATTAATCTACCTGCCTTGAGAAAGAAAGGAACAATCTAATTCTTCCCCTTATTTTCCTGACTTTATAGAAATACCATTACTGTTTCTATTGGCTTACACTGGGGTTACAGAGTCCCCGGCACAGCTGCACTACTGTGACAGGGATCTTCACTAGTTTCTCCACCTTATTCTCACTGGCTGAGACAGCCCTGCAGAATTCCCCTCACCCTGAAAGCAATTCCTCCTTAATCTTCTTTTCTATTTTGAGGGAAGTGTCGAAGTACCCCCCGGCAGAAGGCCCCTGCTGTGCTTATGAACATGCTAGGTATGCCCTGGCACTCCAGCACTACCAGTAAGAATGCTGATGAATGACAGCAGCCCAGCAGGAGACTGAGAGGAATTGAGATCAAGAACCCATATCTTCCCATTAAAAAATAGAGAGCGAGCACAACTAACTCTGTGTGAGTAATGACTGATTTCTATTATGTCCCCTTGGGTCAGGAAGCATTTGAGTGCATCATTTTTAAAGATGACTAAAACTAGCCAGAATACCAATACTATTAATGTCTCCTGTTGTCTTGCAGTGCTGGTGTCATCCTTCAGCCATGTATTCCCAATACAGATATTTCACCCAGCCTGGATTTCGGTGTTGGCCTTGCATCTAGCATTAATCAGTATGACTCCACTGATGGCTTATACAGGCTGGGTATGAAAGCATGACTTGCAGCCATAGGAAGGGATCCACTTTATTTCTCCACACCATTCTTTTTCTCCTTTACATAGGTCCAGGACTAGCTTCTTTACAGATCACTTTGCTATTCCTCTCCCAGGTCTCTGTCTCCTTATGGCAAGGGTTCCTAGAATCCATTGTTTCTGGGAATAACCACTTATAACACACACCTAAGGCCACTGAGCAACTCAGAAATTCAGAAGATGCTCAACACATTGAGCTGTGCTCAGCTTGCTGGATGTGGCGTGCAGAAGCCCATGCAAAGCTCTGCCATTCAGCCTGATGCAAAGCAGCCAGTTTAGCATTTCTTGGTTCTCTGTGTTTCTCATGTCTGGGCAAGGAGAAGCAGCAAGCACATCAGAACACAGCTACAACGCACAGCTCTGCTGCTCCTCAAGGCAAATTTCCTACCTAGCCCCCTGTAGAGGAGCACAGGCCCCCAGGTGATTGTCAGCCCTGTCCCTGCCTAGAGAACAGACCTTTGGGACCTCAGCACACCCCTGGGACTCAGGGGGTTTCTGGCGTGCCACCCTGGTCACAGAGGAACTGTGACAGAGGCAAGTCAAGCTTGGCAGGTAGCACATTGCTTTCTGGGCCTATCAGGATGAACTGCAGAACTCCTGCTGACTTCAGCAGTGGCAAGGTTTCAGCTGCAGGTATGAATGATCTTGGCTTCTCTGATGGCAGGTATCGAGCAACAACAGAGCTAGAAATACATACCACATGGCTGGTTTGGTGTGTCAGACACACCGGTGATACAGATGGCCCTTGGTCAGCACTTGGTGTGCCTGGAATGAGCAAAGCCCTTACAACGTAAGGCACATGAGCACCACCCCTCTCTGCTTGTTTCTAGAGACAGGCAAAGCAGCAAGCATTTGTCTAGACCAAGGTCTACCACAGGGACTCACAGGGAGCTTATTCAATCACAAGAAAGTTCCAGCTGGTTTTATTTAGCTGTTTTGTGCTTCCAGGTTTTAAATTCTTGGGGTTATTTTGCTTTGTAGCCCATCCCTGTAACTCTGAACATATTTCTGTGCTGTTCAAGACTACAGCAGGGGCAGGCATCCATGTGCTCAGGGACTGAGCTCAATTCATTACTTTGTCAAAGATCTGACATGACTAAAATCCAAGTCATGTCAACAGATTGCAGATGTTTTCCCCTCCACTGACACACCACATCCTGGAGGGAAATCACAGGGGTGCAATGCCTGTCTGAAGATGTCAGCTTGACTGCACAATATCTTCTCAGAAGAGCTGGGCCTCAGTAGCCAGCTCAAAACATTCCTGAGACTTCTGGACACAGCAAAAATAATTGCCTAAAGTACAGCACAAGAGATCCAAACAGCACTCTGAGAAATGCAAGAGCTCTACTCAGGAGGAGGCATCATTACCTTATTGTTTTGTGCCTTTTCTTACAGTAGCTCCTCAGTGGTTTGGTCTGTGGAGCACGCAGGACTGAACAGCCCATTGAGATGCTTAGCTGCTCTGGGACAAAGCTCATCAGGTGCAAGTTTTGACTAAACAGAACTTCATATGAATAAAATACTGTTAGTGCCTGCTCCAGAGCACGGCTGCTTGCCAGCCCTGTTCCACCTGCAAACCTGGGTGCAGAAGGAGGACCCCATGTTTGCTGAGTCCATACTGGACTTCCAAGCATTGCATGGAAAAGCAAGCAAGCAAAGCCTGAGTAAGCCAGGGGCAGTTATGATGCCAGAACCATGCTATGCTAATCTGAGGGTATGTTCTTGTGTCAGTGCTTTAAATGTCCCCTGGGACTGGTACCAGCCACACCACTGGTGTGACACTGACTGCTGTGTGACCAGTAGCCAGTTAACTGGTACACGTGTTCCCCATTAACAGATCCAGTTTGTAACTAAAGATAGCCAAGAGCAGCATGGCACAAGTCCATGGGTTACTTCAGTCCTGAATGTAGGTGAGAAAGGCTGAGCCTTGTGGAATGAGGACAAGGGGGTTTGGGCTCTGGAGTAGAATTCCTGCACTCTGTGCACCTTGGGGTGTGCCCTGACTCACCCAGGCACTGCACCCCAAGCAGGCACTGCACAACACCGACTGTTTGGAACAGGCTCTGTTCTTCCACAGCCACTTGGACAAATAAGGAAGCCAGCAGCTACCCCCATAATCCAGGAGAGGAGGAGAGAATCATGACCAATGGTTCAGAAAGGGGAGGGTTGGAACAGAGAGAATAGGCCTTGATGCATTCACCCCCTTTTGTCATGACATAAAAACTAGGCACACAGTCTCTCTTAGTGCTTTTTAAATTCATCAAGAGAGGAAAGCATGGCCAAAGGGCAAGTTTGATTTTATCTGGGCAGAAGTGCCTTTGGTGGTGCCTCTCTCCACTGAAAATAAAGGCAAATCAAGGAAATAAGCTTCTGGTTTAGCTACCTTAGTGAAGTATGTCAGGGTAAGTGGGATTAAGGCAGGCCATGTGACTGGGGCTCAGATCCCCTGAGGTCCAGTCCAGCACGAAAGACCCCCAAGGACATTATCTTTCTCCTAAATGGATGCTTCAGAGTTTTGCTACACACTGAGACCTTTGTAACACTTTGTTATATTTATTCTCCTGATAAACCATCCTGACTCCTTCAAAGCCAGTGAATTAACATCTAAGTCAAACCTTTTAATGTTCCTTGGACATGTCGCACTTGTCGCTTCCTGCCTGTGAATTCTAAAAAGGGCCCAGGGTAAATAAATAATGCAGTGTGCATGTTGCTGCTGTGAAAGTTGTTCCTAAAGAATAACTTACTCAGCTCTGTAGTGATGGGGATCCTTTTATAACATGGCTGTGATTGATTCCCCAATGCTCTCGCTTGGAAAACAGCATCTGTAGGAACAGTCAGTAACAACATGAGAGAGGGAAATGAGCAGAAGCAAAAAGGAAAAGGAAAGATAAAAAAGAAAGAAACCCTGGTAGAATGGTTCAGACTGACACATGCAGGAAACCTCTTACCTGTGCCTAAAACCATCACTGTCATGCAAAAACCCCCAATCTTCAGAAGGTTTCTTGCCTTGGTTTGCTTTTCCAAGGCTCACTTCATTCACTCAGGGCTTCAAAGGATCAAACAAAAGCTTTCCTGGGAGCTGCTTATTGACATCGTTAACTAAAATACAATCACCCTCTGTGGAGCATCAGTGCCTGTTACAAGGGGGAGTTGGTGCAAAGCTCCCCCTCAGCCCACTTGCTCTCAGAAGGTGCTTGAGGAAGGGGGTTGTGTTTTTCTGTCCCCTTCAGGAAGGCTGTACATGAAGAGATGGGACATGTGCTGGAGCAATGAAGGCAAAAGCACACACCATAACTTATTTTAAACCCAAAAGGACTTAAAAGAGAAATCCAGAAGTTCCTAGAAGCATGTGTCTTCATTTCCCCCCAGTTCTCACCAGCTACCTGATTTAGTAGAATCAGCCCCAATTTCATGCCTGCTTTCTGTGTTTTGATCACATCTAATCTTCTTACCATTATGTCTAAATTTTTCCTGTGCTACCTAGCACAGCATCTGGGGAATTGAGTGTTAACAATCCTACTGACTGCAGAAGATAGAAACATAGAATAGTTAGGGTTGGAAAGGACCTTAAGATCATCTAGTTCTAACCCCTCTGCCATGGACAGGGACACCTCACACTAAACAATGTTACCCAAGATAGCATCAAAGTGATAGAATCTCAACTCCACTAAAGATTTTGCTAGAAATGGAACTTCTTCCAGTTCAGATCCTGTGTAATGGATCCTCTCTGCTCAGGAGCACATGAGCATTGGAGATCAGTGACCCCAACGGGGTCCTAGATGGACTGTTGCTCTAATCAGCCATGTCTCAGATGAGGCAATGGACTGCCAAAAACCTCATTAGAGACATCAGGCATCACAATCCCTCAAACCAGCAGCAAAAGCTCTTCCCAAGTACAGTAAAGCACCTGTGAATGCATGTGAGGGGCAGCAGCTGAATGCCTGCAATGAATCATTGCCTTTATTGCACCCTTCCCTGTTGGGCAGGGGTTGCTTTGAATGGCTGATCACTGCCTGGATGCCTTCTCCTGTGTCAATATTTTTGCTCTGCTGCAGTACACAGTGCTCTACCTGAATTTTCACAAACTGGCAGGGTGCTATTACAAAAGATTACTTAATTGTAGATTACTACTGTACATTTGAATCTCAGTATCTTATTAAGCTGTCAGATTTAATTACCATTACATGTTTAGATTATGGCACAGATTATTTAGTTGGGTACCTAGGTTTGCCAACCTGTTTGCTTTGTGACATGACAGGGTGCTAATTACAGCATTACTGGAAAACCGAAATTCTTCCACGGGAAAGACTACAAGTCCTTGGCGTCAGCACTGACCTGAATCCACGCTCCTTCTTGCAAGGGTAAGGAATGCTTCCCTCTGTGTGGCTCTGGGTCTGTAAAACCTAATCCCCTACCCCATGAGGGAGGCAACATGCAGAACTGGCCTGGGTCTGTTGCGTATGAAACGCTCACAGCCAAAGCTAAAGCCACAGGAAATGCATTTGATCTGGCCTTTGTTACAGCCTCCAAGCCGAGACTATGCCTGTCATGATGCTTACCTGGGACTGTTAAGGGAACTCAGGGCCTTCCATCCAAGTAACTATATCCACTGTGGTTAGGATGCAAAACCCTATAACTTCATCTACAGCAGCAGGGGTGGGGATGAGAAAGCATTTTGATGGATAGAACAGATGGACAGGACAGGTCTAGCCAAGTCATTGCTGTCCCATCAGCAATGGTAACTACGAAATGAGAAACATCAGCCTCTCTCTCTTTTCTCTGTAATAAAGTTAATAAAGACGATAGATTCACAATCACCTTGCTTTAGAAAGCTCTCCCAACTATTCTTCTACCTTTCCCTACCTGTTTCCTCTCCTTAACATTAACCGAGGCTAGGCCTCTTGGGTCCCAGTTGTGAATGTAACTTTACCCTCCTCCAAAACCTCAGAGGCAGATGGGGAAGGTTTTGCTGTACAGATGCTCACATCTCTATTTTCTATAGAAAGACTGTAGTTCCATGCACTACAATTGTGAGTGATCAAACAAAAAATGCTGGAGGGGAGCAGGACAGTGACTGATCACAGTATCACAGTATCACAGTATGCTGGAGATTGGAAGGGACCTCAAAAGATCATCTAGTCCAATCCCCCTGCCAGAGCAGGAACACCTAGATAACGTTACACAGGAATGTGTCCAGGCGGGCTTTGAATGTCTCCAGGGAAGGAGACTCCACAACCTCCCTGGGCAGCCTGTTCCAGTGTTCCGTCACCCTCACTGAGAAGAAGTTCCTTCTCAAGTTTAAGTGGAACCTCTTGTGTTCCAGTTTGCACCCATTACCCCTTGTCCTATCATTGTTTGCCACTGAGTAGAGCCTGGCTCCATCCTCGTGACACTCCCCCTTTATATATTTATAGACACTTATAAGGTCACCCCTCAGTCTCCTCTTCTCTAAACTATAAAGACCCAGCTCCCTCAGTCTTTCCTCATAAGGGAGATGCTCCACTCCCTTAATCATCTTGGTTGCCCTGCGCTGGACTCTCTCCAGCAGCTCCCTGTCCTTCTTGAACTGAGGGGCCCAGAACTGGACACAATATTCCAGATGGGGTCTCACCAGGGCAGAGTAGAGGGGAAGGAGGACCTCTCTCGACCTACTAACCACCGCCCTTCTAATACATCCCAGGATGCCATTGGCCTTCTTAGCCACAAGGGCACAGTGTTGGCTCATGGTCATCCTGTCGTCCACTAGGGATGGGATGAAACATCCTTTTTGCTCTGAGTCTCTTTTTCATAAATAGATAGAAAAGAGCAGGTACAGCATCTGTATGTGTCACTAAAATGGAGATGCATTATTTATCTATGTGTACATACTATTTACTTCTTTTCTATATACAACCAATAGAGTTCCATACATCTTTATATTTATGTAGCAATAAACATATTAAAGTAATCTGTTCAAGTCACAATTGCCTCTTACTCAAATATACCTTATAATTTCTCTTCTGTTCTGATTGTGTACACTGTATATTGATATAATTTTGTCTAGTTATTATTAAAATCCATGTCTCTACCTCACTCTAATCTTTTCTTTGGCACAGCCATTGTTTTAAAAGCCTAGAATGATAATAAAGCATAGGGAGAACACTTAGGAGAGCCATCCATTCCTCAGCCCGTCTTCAGTTAATTAATACTCCACATTCTCAAGAGGACAAATCTTGGCTCCTTCGCTGAATTAAGGGAGGAAGCGATGCAATAAATATTCCACTGGGCTGAAGTTGGTTTTGCTTCCATTGCAGTTCTGAGCTACCAGCTCTGTTTGCCTGGGAACAGAGCACCCACCCTATTCAGCATCAAGAGAAAGGCATTGGTTTTCTCTTTCTGAAGGACTGAAGGAGCCTCCACTCCCACGTGACAGCAGTCACCAACACTGGTTACCATTCACCCTCCAGTCATGGGCTCTTTAATGGAACCCTTGAACCTTCACTCAGAATCTGCAGGAGGAAGTGGCATGTTTCCAGGTGCAATGCTGGCCTATTTCTCCTTCCTTTGCATAGCTGTAGCTACAGGAACTGGATAGGGCTGGACAGCCAGCAACGCTAAACTGAACTTCTGGCCCTTTTAACTTAGAAAATGATTGCCAAAGATGCAGAACAAAAATGTGATCCTGCAACTCCAAACTCAAACCAGAATTTGGTTGCATAAGCTATTAGATTTAATTTTCTCTTCAGCTACAAAGACTTAAACCCATTTCTTAGCTGTGTAACATCTAGCAGTAGAATGATACTATATATATATAAAGAAGTATCTCCCCTTAAGTATTTGGATTCCAAGTGTAACCTACATCAGTGAAGGATTCATATATGCTGGCATAAATCATCAAAACTATGATAAAGGCAACAATCCCGGGTTTATGTCAGGAACTTAACAATGACTTTGGCTGGTGGAGTTTTTCCTGGCTACTTGATCACGTTTCTCAACTTAGCTCCTTAGTCTGGGAAAACACAGCAAGGAGTGGACACTGCTCAGTGTGCAGCCCTATGGGTTGTAGGTAGTGTGGCCAGGCTTGTCACAGCACTGCATTAACACCCACAGCCGCCACCAGCATCCATGGGATCGCGATATCCCTGCAACGTTCATTCCTTGGCAGGTTTTTCCCAAAGAGAAACAAGGGGCTTTGTCAGGGAGAAGTTTCCTGATGAGAGATTAGATTCATAACCAAATTAAATGATTGTCTCTATCTAATTAGATTAGTTTCAATTGAATAATGAAACCTTTAGCTGTATTTAATGTAACATGCCTCAAGTCCAACGATTAGTCTGCAGAATGAAGCTAAACAATTAAAACCACAATCTATTTTATAGCTTATTTTATAGGAACAATTGGAAAAACTATTACTGCTGAAATCTGCAGCGGAAACGTGCAATTACAGGACCAACAAGAGCAGTCAGTGCAGTGAGCGTGCAGCAGGGCCAGGTGGGAGGTTCTGAGGGCACTATGGAAGGACGCAGGCCGAGAAGCTGCCCATATCTGGCATTTATTACTTTGTTTTTATTTTCCTGAGGTCAAGGAATAAGAAAATCACATTAATCCTCAAACATCTGGGTTAGACTGTGAAAACCTCAGAAAACCTATTATTTAATAACATCTACCTTATGGAAAAGTCAGAGGACCATATTTTGATATGTGTTTAGATGCCCTGTGCTTCGCATGGATGCCAAGGAGGACCTTTTGTTAAATATATATATCCATCTATCTGCCCATGGTTTCCAAACAGAATGAAATGCTGGAGTGTTATGACAAATCCCACAGGATTTGCACCTTTAAGCACCTAAACAACTTTAGAAACATAACCTTTACAAACCTAAAGCACAGTTTGGGACTTTATCACGCACCCAACTCACTCCCAATAAAAGCATCGTAGGCTCCAGGCCTTTGAGGGCCTGTCTGTCCCAGAGACGTGATTCCAATGGAAGCTACTGCTTGAACCTGAAGTGCAAGAGCTATTATGCACTAATTTCTTTTGTGGACATTCTTAATCCTCATAAAGAGCTCCTTGCACAGGCTGGCTTAGCTACACAAAACCTCTCAGTGCAGAAGTGGCACATGGGGAGTTAGGACACACGAGCAGTTGTAAGCTTTTTTGCTCATGTAAACCCGCCTGTAAGATCTTTTCAAAACATTACCCTTTAATTCACAGAGCGGAGCTTCCAGTCCTATTGGGATATTTGCCCATTTGTAATGACTAATCCTATTTTGGAGGTTGCTGGGCAATGGGGTCCTTTCATTTGCTTGGAAGGAAGCTGCAGCATTTCAAGCAGCATGAATTCCAGCCTGCTACAAGTCTCCCAGCTGGCAGAACAGCTTGAACATTCTGTATTTTTGATGAAATCTTTGATCACCTCATTGCAAGATTTGGTTGCCTACTCTCAGCTCTCTGGCAGCTCTGAGCACAACCTGCCATTTCTCGATGGGATTTGTTCTTTTACGGATTAGACACGTTAAATAAATAAAGCAAACTGTCTGAAAGATCTCCAGATCAATAATGTCACAGACACAGGGGTCTGGAAGCACAACAGACACCATCCTAAAATGAAATAGACATCAATCAGAGCTTCCTTTGTCCATCTGCTGAGACCCTCTCCTGATCCAGGGTGCCTGCCCTGCTTTAGATGAACACGGAAGGCATTTCTGATCCCTTGTTACCTTGGAGATCTTTCTCTGTTCCCAGGTTACCACCTAAATGATGAGGGAATGTGGCTGTGGAATGAGCCTTCAGCTCCTGCCACTGCAACAGAGTCTCTATGCAACCCTGGTCAAGATACTTTATCTGCAGCTCACTCCTGAAAAAGGGTCATGGTGAATGCTCAGCCTCTCCCCTCCGGGGCAGGGTCCATCTCTTACTTTTGCATCTGAAATCCAAGTTAGGCATTGGTTGAGATAACACTGCTAAATAACCAGCAAACTAGAGAATTCTGTGCCCTCCACCCAGACCAAGGTATTGAATCTTCAGCTTATTCCTAGGAGAACAAGGAGGAAGACATGTGAGCATCCCAAAGCAAATACCAGAACAGCCTCCTGCAGTAGAGCTGCACCACACCAGTGAGACATTGCTGTTGCATGTAGGAAGACCCTGCTGTTCCCCTCTCTTTGGCCACCAAAGCCCCTAAACCGGAGAGGAACTCCTCAGCTACAGAACCACCTCTCAGCAGTGGCAGCTACAGTTTATTTGAGACCACATGACCAGCTGCTGCTGAGATGCCCTCTTCATCATCATCACAGCTTCCATGTCTCATAGTAGCAAGGAAAAATTAGGATGTGTATGAGTCATACATTAACCATGACAGTACGGGGGACAAGGGTTGCGTGGTGAGGAATTCCTTTGTCAATGTCAGCTGAGTGACACAACCAGAAGGAAAAATATACCACAAAGAGCTTCCATGAATTACTGTATTCAGCAAAATGAAAGGTAATTTGACATCTCTGACAAGGGGCAGGGAGAGCTTCAATCTGGCTCTGCTGAATTTAGCAAGCTAGTACAAAACTGGTGGGAAAGGGGAGCACGTACCCCTTTAAACCTCTATGGCGCTTGTGTGCTAACTGCATCTGTTGGCCACGTGTCTCCTCCTCAGATAAGGAATCCTGGGGCCAGCAATTAAAAGGTATTTTGGCAGGTTATAGAATCATAGAATAGTCAGGGTTGGAAAGGACGTTGAGATCATCTAGTTCCAGCCCCCTCTGTTAGAGACTATCTTCTCACAAGCTCCCTTTTTTGACTCACATTTACCAATCAATCAATGTATGTCTCCCTATCATAATAAAGCCATCATCTATATACACAACCTGTCAGAAATGACAACTCCTCATTCTAATATTATGGGAAATATATATGCCTTGGAGGAAACACCTGTTGGATCCCTAAAGTGGGATATAGAGAGAAAAGACAGCAGGAAACTCACTTCATCATAACGGCATCCACCTTGCCAAAGCCAAGCATATTCTGACTTAACAAGAACCTCTCTTTAGTTCAGGGTTCCTTCTGCCATATACTCTGCAAATGATTCTTATGGAATTCTGATTTTCATGAGAGACTCATAAATCATCCTGCACTGGACTTGGAGGAGTTTGAGGATGAGGGCACTGATACAATCTAGCACCCAGGGCGACAAACAGTCTCTGACTGGGCTACAGTCACTTCAGCCATTAGCAGGTGATGTGGTTCACAAATTGACTGTGCTGTGGGAGCACAGTTATCTGTGCTAGCCCTGCATCTATCAGGAAAGGAAACAGTTGCATTCACATGATGCTCTCCATTGCCATGTCTGTGTTACCTTTCCTGCATCACGTTCTCATTTGAGGTCCTTACCACTCACACTGCACTGAATAGGATGTCAAAACAGCACAAGACTGTAGGAGTGGAGCTGACCTACAGAGTACCAGGTACTCTGGACTGTGGGCATTTCTGTGACTGTGGTCCTAATGGCTGAACATTTCAAAACCCTCTTCCACACCATCAGGCACATAAGCCACTGGTAATCAGTGCCCAACCCACAGGCAAACTGAGCCTATTACAAGAGCCCATCATGAAACTTAGAGAAAAACATGGGTTTATACTACAAGTAACCCCAGTTTAATACCTTCTGTATGGTCCAAACTGGCTCCAATGTAGCAGGCTCAAACTGAGAGTGCTGCGACATGATAAAACATTTCTTTTTTGCCTGTTTGCACAGCCATGATCTGATATAAACCAGTCATTCATGTTACTATGAATCAAAGTAGGGAACGTAGCTCTCAGCTACACTGAAAGATGGTCAGACACATCCAAGATGTTTCAAACTTCATTTGAGGACTAACATAAGTGATTAACAGTTGTCTATAGCATTAGAAGGCAGGAGTGGAAGTCTTTCTATCAAATTGTTAGCTGCCAACAACTTCCCGCTGACAAGCTATCTTTAAATTCTTCATAATGCCTTTGCAAAGCCCTAAAGCTTTGTTGAATCCCTCGCCTGCAGTCTTCCGACATCAGCTCTTCCACTCCTTGTCATGGGAAAATGTGGCTACAATGAGTCGTAATGACACGTGCACGCATCAAGGTCTGTGCTCATTTGGTTTGCCTCCTGCACCCTACCTACAGAACAGCAGCAAATCCGCAGGAATCAGGGCTCATTTCTGTGTCCCAAATTTTGCCCAGAGAGAGAGAAAGGGGCAGGAGTGTACTCACAAAGCAGCTCGGGACAAGCAAGGCCTGGAAGAGTTGTGCCACTGGTTCCCAGGAGCCCCCACATGAGAAATCCATGCACAAAAGTCTCCAGGGAGCAAACACCAGTGGGACCTGCCCCAGGTTGCTCCAGCAGCTGGAGCTGCAATGCCCCAGCCCATCAGCACAAACACGCTGCCAGCCTTCCCCTGCCTCTGTACCACAGCCTTGGGGATGATTTAACTCTTGGCATGTGGGCTGTTCGGTTCACATCCCATCTGGGAATCCTCTCATTGTTGTCTGACTGGCTCCCAGCTCCCCACATATGCTAACCTTTTCCTTTAGGGAGGAGCGGAGTTTCACACACACAATGAACACTGCCTCTGAAGGCCTCTACAAAGCCCCTTTGCTCACTCCCAGGCCCACATTGTAAGAATATGGTGCTTGTCTGGGCTTGGCGTATTCATCACCATGGATTATATCACTCCAATCACAATGCATCAAAGTGCTTTCCCTACCTCACAAGGAACTCTGAGGCTTAATTAATTGACACAGAGAGGTATTATGTGTCATTGCAAAATACTGTAATGTAGAGTATTCCATCCAATAATTAACAACTACGCCAGGCTATAAGTAGAACCATTCTTAAAAATGAGTAGTTAAATTTTTCTTAATTACATCCACTGAACCAAATCTGCCCCTAAGCAATGCACATGTAATCCCAGTGAAGTCAGCCTGCTCGTACAGAATACACTCGAATAAAAATAGACTGTGCTTATCATCTATATTGCTGCAATACTTACACTCCCCCACTAAGTTTAGGGACTCCTGCTTTATTTAGAGTTGTAAACATGAACAATAAAGGTAAACTAAGTTGAGCTGAGAAAACAGCATGGAAGGAGAGATGTAGCATTGGGACTTACACAACACACAAACAGAAAGGCTGAATCCTCGTCTAATAGGCACTGTCTGACACCACACTTCAAAACGGAGCCGAGATACTCTAATGACAGGATTCCAAGTGATGATGCCTTGAGAAGAGCTCCTGCTACCTGCGTGGCAAAGTCTGAAGAGTTGGCAGCACTGGAGAAGTTCAGACTGCATAGGGTAAATGGACTGAAGTGTCTGAACACTGATCCAGACGCATTAGGATCTACTTCACTGAAGAAACCTCCGAGTGACACATAAGAAAAGTCATCACCTGCTTTTGTTGCCTGCTCTCCCTTTCTGCATTCAACCTCCATCCAAACCGCCTCCCTCAGCTAACACTTCAGTGTGTAAGGACACATCGTTCAGCCACAGACAGAAACCAGGTGTAGTAACTCCACCGCTTTTGCAAATTAACATAGCCCAGTTATCGTGGGGAAGCTGGATCCTACTTCTGCAGGCAGATGTCATGTGTCAGAGCTATGAGCCATTGCTTCTGACAGAAAACAACAGCTCGTTATTCAGAACATCCCTTGTGACATCTTTGCTGAAGCCTCCCTCTCCCCTTGCGAGGTCACAGGAGGGCCGGAAGAGACACAGCTTCTTCTCCCTGGCACAGACAAGTGCATGTGCATGTTTTCATTCTCCCACTACTCCTTTGGCTGGGTGCAGGTTGTATTTTAAAACCCAAAGCCTGATCCTGCTCCTCACAGACAGAGTAGAGGCTTGCTTTGATTCCAGAAAGGCTGCTCAGAGAGGAAGACAGCAGACAGCTTGAGTAAGGGTGGCAAAATTCAGTTCCTAATTATTAGATTAAACCCTTGAAACAGTTGTCATGTGTGAAGGGACAAAGCAGAATTTGGCAAACGGGAAAGGAAAAAACAAATCTTCTCATAATGATAAATAATCTCTGAAGACAACCTTGTCAGTTTGTGAGCATCTCAACAGTTCCCTGCTTTTGGGTTTTTTTTGGTCAGTGCTTATCAAAATTTGCATGGCTAGTTAGTGGGTTAATTTAATTACGAGCAGCATTCCTGAACAGCCTGATGGGGGATCTGCAGAGGGCAACAAAATGTGTTCTTGACTGATGAAACTGCACACACTCGCACATCTGGAAGCCGTCATGGGACGGATCGCTGTCTAGTAAATGCGTGTTGAGTGTTACAATATTTTACTAAGCACTCCCAATCTGTCAAGGTTTCCAGGAGAGTAGAGACTGGGAACATTTGGGATCATTTGTAGCTCAGAGCCGTTAGCTACTTCCACCCACTTATTGTGACGTTATTAATAGCACAATAATCGAAAGAGCAGAACTTGGCTTACTCAAGATCTTAGATAACAGAAGTGATTTTCACTAAGGGTCAAACCCAGGGAGCCAGGACCCTGCTGAACAATAGGCTACACTGCATAGTACTGCCTTGGCTGAACTGGTGGTATCTTTGTGCAGACTCTGGTCCTCAAGGGCCTTACCTGCAGACCCAGCCCAGCCCTGTTGTTTCAGGTCTCTGTAAGAGGCAGCACATGGTGACACTGAACCAGAGAAGACAGTGCTGTGTAAGCAATGTGATGCTGACCATCCCTTACTAATTGCCCTCCTCAACAACAGTTAATGGTAAGAAAAGCATTAAGCACCACACACAAGGTAGATAAATTTACACTTCATTAAACCACGGACAGTGTAACAAAAGCTGTCTGTCAGATAGAAGTGAACTGTAGCTCTATGCTATCCCTACTAAAACACAAGTTGCTGGCTAAAACCCAATGCTGTTATTCTCGCATGACATCCAGGGATGCTTGTGAGCAAGTGACATCCTAAATTCTCCTGGACTCCAAGAGAGCAGAATGGCCAGTTAGTGACCAAGACTCAAGTCATGGAGAAGACTGGTTCTAGCCTGGCACACAGGAATGGATTTCATCCCATGAAAAGCAATTCCCTGCTAAGGAAATCAGAACTCAGGACCTGGCCCGTGAAAGAGATTTTGCACAAAGCTTCTTCACAGCTCAAGGAAAAGATCTGGAAGCCTTCAAAACTTACCACTGACTTCATG